CATTGGTTGGTAGTGTGGTCATACGAGATGTGTGCGTCACATCCATCCACCTGCTCCTGATAATATTAGATTATTTCATGTTTACGTCTACTGAAAGGTCCATTGTCTAATGAAAGAAAAGACCATTATACGTGTTCCTAATAATATTACATTATTTCAAGTTCACAGGTGTACTTTCTAATGAAAGGTTCACTGTCTAATGCAGGGCTGCCCAACCCTGCTCCTGGCGATCGACTGTCCTGCAAAGTTTAGCTCCAACTCTAATCAAAGACACCTGCCTTTAATGTTTAAGTGATCCTGAAGACCCTAATTAGTTGCTTCAGGTGTGTTTGATTAGGGTTCAAAGGGGTCGATCGCCAGGAGCAGGGTTGGGCACCCCTGGTCTAATGAAAAGACTATTATTCGTTCTATGACATCCAGGGTTAACATAATTCAGTATATTAATTTATATATTGATTACTTTCATTTTCACATAATACTTCAATAAAATTACACAATACTCTTGAGAAACATGAGGACCGATTACTTAGAGTTCTCCAGAGGTTGAAGGAATTTGGCTTAAAGCTTTTGCCAGAGAAATGTCAATTCTTTAGAACGTCTATTAAATATCTTGAACATGTGGTGTCTGTGAGTGGGGTAGAGACCGACCCAGCCAAAATAGCTGTTCTCACGACGTGGCCCAGGCCAAATAACAAAGGAGCTTAAGTGTTTTCTCGGATTTGCCAAATATCATAGGCGATTCATAAAAGACTATTCTAAAATTGCAAGACCTCTCAACAACTTAACAGCTGGGTACCTACCTCCAAAAAGGCGGTCAGCCTCCTCACACAGTAGCTCGATACGTTTCTCAAGTTCAGATTTCAAAAGGCCCTTCAATGAGAAATGGACATCAATTTGTGAAGATGCCTTCAAGACTCTCATTCAGAAGCTCACAACAGCTCCGGTTCTTGGGTTTGCCGACTCAAAGAAGCCCTACACAGATGCAAGCACTCACTCTATACCAAGAGCAAGCAGGCAAATTGAGAGTGATAGCCTATGCAAGCAGAGGACTCAGCCGTAGTGAACAAAGATACCCTGCACATAAACTCGAATTTCTTTCTTTAAAGTGGGCTGTCACTGAGAAATGTTTTGACTATCTCTATGGAGCAATGTTCACCGTTGTGACAGACAACAAACCATCGATGAACATCCTGACGTCTGCCAAACTCGATGCAGCGGGTCACCGCTGGTTGGCCGCTCTGTCCAGCTTTGACTTCAACATCCTGTACAGGGCTGGGAAGAAGAATCAAGACGCAGATGGTCTCTCAAGGTGTCCTCATCCTGATGACCAACAGCAACCTGATCTAGATTCCCAGGATGAGGAGGAATGACAGGATCCAGCCATCAGTAGAGTAATAGATATTGTCCAAACAGGAAAGTGACTCTCGTTCAGATCAATGTGTCAGGAAGATGGAGGTCTCACTCTACTAGAAGTGTTGCATCCTCCTGGGTGCTGGATCGTGGCGCCTCTCTGGCAGATATTTGTAGAGCTGCGGGATGGGCGACCCCCAACACGTTTGCTAGATTCTATAGCCTTTATGTGGAGCCGGTATCCTCCTGTGTTCTCACCTCAAATGGGTAGAAGCACTGAGAGGCCCCAGTTAGTGGCGGCTTGCTATAACTGCTCCAGAGTGTACGTACTGTAGACCCTGTCTAACTCCTCCATCCCCTTGGCAGCCAGACGTGGCGGAACATCCGGCGCCAGGCCCTCACTCGATGAATCCGTGAGAACCGGTAGAGGGCTGGGTTCCATATGTAGAGACCCAAGTGGATCCCATATGTGTAAAGTCCACGGTATAGCCTCAGAGCCCGTGTTTCCCCGGCAGACTTCTGCCATTTCCAAGAGGGTTACAATCACCTTGAATCTTCCATATGCACCTAAATGGTTGTTCATATGTGTACATGCTTCCGAAACCTCCTTCGGGAAGGATGGGGCTTCTGCAACGCTCCTGTCCCAAGTGGAACGGGTACGTTTTCCTAGTGTTATCCTATCTCATTGAGTGGGTCACTTAGATTTATCAGCAGCATCTGACACTGTGGACCACTCTATTTTGATATCTAGATTAGAGTCAGATGTGTGCCTAAAAGATACAGTCCTTAAGTGGTTTCAGTCATTTTTATCAGACACTAGGTAACTTCTCTTCCTCTGTTGCTCCTCTCACCTGTGGCCTCCCTCAAGGCTTGATATTGGCGCCCTCCCTTTTTTCCCTGTACATGCTTCCTCTGGGTTTCATTCTAAGAAGGCATGGTCTTTTCATTTCTACGCTGACGATACCCAGAATTATTTACCTATTAAGAGAAATGATCCTTCAGCACTTAGTACCTTAATAACGTACTTAGATGAGGTCAAAATCTGGCTAGCTCAACATTTTTTAACATTAAATGCAGATAAAACAGGTGATTGTTTTAAGTCCTACTGATCATTCTCAGGCAACCAGCCTAGATCTGGGCAGTTTATCAGCCTTCAGATCTTCTCGTGTGTGAAATCTGGGTGTCCTTCTTAATGAGTCATTAAAATTGGACAAACATATCACTTCTGTAATTGGTTCCCGTTTTTACCAACTCCACTTGCTGTCTAAAATCAAACACTTTTTAAATGCTATGACGTTAGAGATGGCTGTCCACGCTTTTATTACTTCACGATTAGATTACTGCAACTCACTATATTCTGGTATTTCAAAGTCACAAATTTCTCGCCTACAATTGGTCCAAAACGCTGCTGCTAGATTTCTTCAAAATAGTCGCAAATGTGACCACATCACCCCCATACTGAGGGGCCTCCATTGGCTGCCTATTCAATTTATAATCGGTTTTAAACTTCTCTTACTGGTGTATAAATATTTACATAACCAAGCCCCTAGTTACACTGAACAAAATTATAAATGCAACACTTTTGTTTTTGCCCCCATTTGTCATGAGTTGAACTCAAAGATCTAAGACTTTTTCTATGTTCACAAAAGGCCTATTTCTCTCAAATATTGTTCACAAATCTGTCTAAATCTGTGTTAGTGAGCACTTCTCCTTTGCCGAGATAATCTATCCACCTCACAGGTGTGGCATATCAAGATGCTGATTAGACAGCATGATTATTGCACAGGTGTGCCTTAGGCTGGCCACAATAAAAGGCCACTCTAAAATGTGCAGTGTTATTACACAGCACAATGCCACAGATGTCGCAAGTTTTGAGGGAGCGTGCAATTGGCATGCTGACTGCAGGAATGTCCACCAGAGCTGTTGCCCGTGAATTGAATGTTCATTTCTCTACCATAAGCCGTCTCCAAAGGCGTTTCAGAGAATTTGGCAGTACATCCAACCGGCCTCACAACTGCAGACCACGTGTAACCACACCAGCCCAGGACCTCCACATCCAGCATCTTCACCTCCAAGATCATCTGAGACCAGCCACCCGGACAGCTGCTGTAACAATCGGTTTGCATAACCAAAGAATTTCTGCACAAACTGTCAGAAACCGTCTCAGGGAAGCTCATCTGTATGCTTGTCGTCCTCATCAGGGTCTCGACCTGACTGCAGTTTGTTGTCGTAATCGACTTGAGTGGGTAAATGCTCACATTCAATGGCATCTGGCACTTTGGAGAGGTGTTCTCTTCACGGATGAATCCCGGTTTTCACTGTACAGGGCAGATGGCAGACAGCGTGTATGGCGTCGTGTGGGTGAGCGGTTTGCTGATGTCAACGTTGTGGATCGAGTGGCCCATGGTGGCAGTGGGGTTATGGTATGGGCAGGCGTATGTTATGGGGAGATGTGTTGCACTGCATGAGGCAAATGGTGGTCACACCAGATACTGACTGATTTCCGGACCCCCCAATACAGTAAAACTGCACAGTTTAGAGTGGCCTTTTATTGTGGCCAGCCTAAGGCACACCTGTGCAATAATCATGCTGTCTAATCAGCATCTTGATATGCCACACCTGTGAGGTGGATGGATTATTTCGGCAAAGGAGAAGTGCTCACTAACACAGATTTAAGCAGATTTGTGAACAATATTTGAGAGAAATAGGCCTTTTGTGTACACAGAATAAGTCTTAAGCTGCGTCCGAAATCGCATACTTCCATACTATATAGTAGGCGAAAAACAGTATGCGAGGCGAGTAGTACAGTATGTCCGAATTCATAGTTTTCGAAAAACAGTAGGCGAGAAGTACCCGGATGACCTACTACTTCTGCCCGAATTCCGTAGCATGCATACGATAGACACTTTACTATCCCATGAGGCCACAGGAGAGGAGGCGTCATATTCGAAAATGGCGGAAGGCAGCGATGCGGCTCTTTTCAAGTGTAAGTACCTCAGGGAAAAACCTTGTTCATTGTGGTTAAATTGCACTTGTTTAACATGATCTACGTGAACGACTGACTTATTGAAAGTTTAAACATTGTAAATCGATGAGATGATTTCGTGAATCGGCCGTAAAAAGATGTTTAATCCTTGTTATTACTGAGCACATCAAGTTAACGAACCGATCGAGCTAGTGTCAATGCTGTTGTAAATCAGCTTGTTAACTGCTTTTTTAACGGAGACGTTCGTTGTTAAGCAGTTTAATGAGATTAGAAAATTCCACTGACTTTAAAACATTTTTTCCCCTCTTTTACTAATATTTAGTTGATATTTTGTTAGCTACATACTAAGCTACTGTTAATAAATATGCCACAGCTTGTCAATGTAGCATTAATGGATTGATAATAACTAATGGTTACTGCTTTGACATTACAGGGACTGATGAACACACTCGGCTCCTTATTCAGTGGAGAGTGGCTAATGAAGCCCTCTTCACTGGAAAGCGTAATGCTGCCATCAAAGGTTTTGAGTAAGCAAACAAGTTATGTCAAATGTGCTTTTATTCAGGTGCTGTTGACACTGAACGTAGTAAATACTTCAAGCAAAGGTCTTACTGCCTTCTTTTTATGCTTTATTTCTGTGCATTCATTGTGACAGAGCAGGAACTTGAGGGCAAAATGTCTGCGCTCAAGTCAAAAGAAAGTGGGAGAACCTAAAACAAAAATATACAGTAAGATTTTTTATAATTAGTTCACCCCAAAATGTTTATTAGTTCATGATTTGGTCTTGCTAATGTTTTTCCATGTCATAGTAATGCAGTAATCTAATGAATGTAATTGAATGTCTTGATATTGTGCTTTTTTCGACCCGGGATATCCAACAAAGATATCAAGGAACTTCCCCTTGTGGTCAGTGATGGCCTGCAGCTGAACAGAGTGGAACAACTTCCTATTACAATAGCATGGGGCATCACTTGCTGGTGGCTTGATCTGGATGTGGCATCTGTCTATTGCACCAGCTACCATGTGGAAAACTGGAGACTCAGCCAGCTGGGCAAAACTTGCCTCCAGGTCATCCGGGCTCGGGAAAGTGATCAGCCTCCTCAAAATTCTGACGACTGCCCTGCTGATTCTGTGCACAATGTCATGCACCGTGGACTTTGGGATGTCAAAGCCCAGTGACCCCAGCCTGTACGATGCTGCGTGGGCCAGCCAGTAGAGAAACACCAGCACCTCAACATCTTTTTCCCAGCCATGGTGAGAATCTGACTTCAAAGCAGCGATGAGGGACATGATGGACTGTCGTGAAAGCCGGAGGTTTGAACGGAGGTCAGATCCATCTTCCAAATACAATCGAAGAATTGGCACAGCAGCATTCAGGCGGCAGTAGGTTGTAGGGCTCACCGTCTGTAAATGTGTGTGTGTATATATATATATATATATATATATATATATATAGAATATGTATATTATGTATTTATTATGTTTATATTATTTATGTAATTTATGTATATATTGTGTCTATCTATAATATTGATTTAGGCTATGTATATATTGTATGTATTCATTCTCTCCCTCTCTCTCTCTATTTATCCAATTGTGTATTTTGTATTCATTCAAGTTTATTCATTGATTCATGTCTTTTGTTTGTCCTGTGTATTTTTATGCATTTATTTATAACAATAAATTACTTTATTTCGTTGCTCCAAATGAGCCTCTGTCTTGGTGTTCACAGACATGACTTTTTATTCTGAGGTAAAATGTGCTAGCTAAATAGGTGATTGTACTTACCTTATTTGATAAATGATTTACAAGCTGTCGACGAAGGCATGATCTTTTATTTATTTAGTCATTTATCAGACGCTTTTATCCAAAGTGACTTACAAATGAGGACAACAGAAGCAATCAATTGTAGTATTAAAACAATTAAAAACAGATCCAAAGCTAAAACTTTATAAATACTACTTATACACATTTTAAAAATAAAGAGATTAAATAAAAATGACAAATGCATACAACAAAATTT